CCCTTCTTCAAACGGGCAGGCTGAGCGTTATGTTCAGACTGTAAAGAAGTCCCTAAGAGCAATGGAAGACGAGGGAGGGAGACTAGACGTCAAACTCTTCAGAATGCTTATGCAGTTACGTCAAACCTCAAATTCATCTGGCAGTGATGCATATTCCTTGATATTTGGCAGGAAGATTCGAACACAAACTTTTACATCCTACACGTAAACAAGAAACTGAACATGTGAAGCAAGCAACACGATATTTTAAGGAGGGAGACAGAGTACAAGCTAGAAATTATTCAAACTCAAAAGACAAGTGGAGTTTCGGAAGAATATTGGAAAGGGAAAGCAACCTTCTGTATAAAGTACAAATGGACGATGGAACTGTCTGGAGGCGTCATGTTGACCAACTACTCAAATGTGAAATAACGTTACCAAAACATTTCAGAGGGTAGAATTGATGTGTTTAACTGATGTACTGACTTAAGACCATATGTGTATGTGAATTAATGATCACCTGTTATTTTGCATTTGTTTTGTTTGTACTGTATTAGTTTTTCTGTTTACATTAAAGTATGAGTTTGATTCAACTGAACTAATTTACTTATTATTTGAAAATGTAACAGTTTTGCTTCAGGCTGTTTAATATGTCTCACAACAAGCTTGATCTACTTATAAGAGAAGTAATATTATTTTTGTCTTTTTGTGACCATGGTTAACTTATTTAATCTAACCATGGATAATTGGGGAGTCTACTGTACTTATAAATGAATTTATTAGTATAGATACTAATAAATTTAAATCATTCTCTCAAACGTGTCACCGGAAAACATAACCTAGTAACAGCCAACAGCAACCAAACAAAGACACCATGACCAACACAAGCTACACGTGATCAGATCAGACAGCAGACAGCAGACAGCAGCCACACACCCTGGTTTTATCCCCGCCAAATGGCACCAAAGTGGTGGGGGGTGAGTACCTTACCTCCCCTATCGGAGCATATTTTCCCTCCTTTAGAGTCATTCTTGTGTCTCCAAGTACTTTTGTAGCTTATTTAACCTAAAAATTGTCCAGGAGGTCAAAAACACTTCTTTATAGCTTATCATATGACTATTTATTCCTTCCATTATTTTTGTCACTTTATTTGTATAAAATTTAAACATGAATATGACCTAAGTGTTGAAACATGTCGTTTCTTAATTAAAATGAATTTAAAAGGGTACTTAATGTTGTTATAATGTTTCCAATTATTAATATAGTAGTAGCCCTAATCACAACCATAATTATGCGCTACTCTTGTTTACGCATGCCCTTTGGTTTGGTATCGGCCCCTGAAGTGTTCCAGTATATTATGTCAGACTTGCTCAAAGGAATTAAGAATGTAGAGTGTTCAATGGATGATATACTAATTCACAGTAACAATGAAAGAGACTTGCAAAAGATCACGAATGAAGTAATGACAAAGCTGAGTGAATCAGGACTTACACTTAACAAAGAAAAGTGTATATTTGCCAAACCGTTGGTGAAATTTCTTGGTCACATAGTTTCAGACCAAGGGTTACAAGCTGATCCTGACAAAGTAACAGCCATTTCAAGAATGAAGGAACCCACATGTTTGTCTGAGCTTCAGAGATTTTTAGGTTGTATAAGTTACTTGTCAATAGTAGTTACTTTGACAAGTACTTGTCATACTTGTCAAAGTTTATACCAGATGTTTCGGTTGATACTCAACCTCTTAGAGTTCTCACTGAGAAAAATGTGGCCTGGTTCTGGGATACGCCACAACGAGAAGCATTTAACAAGTTAAAGCAAAAATTGCAAAGAACTCCCGTGCTTCGTTACTATGACCCCAACTCTCCTGTGACTCTCTCTGTGGATTCAAGCAGTTATGCAGTAGGTGCTGTTATGTTAGAATCTGGGCAGCCCGTAGCTTATAATTCCAAAGCATTGACTCAATCACAACAGAACTACAGTCAACTTGAAAAAGAGACATTCGCAATACTGACTGCTTGCAAAAGGTTTCATGAGTAGAGTATGTATGGGGATGCAAGGAGTTGACAATTGAATCAGATCATAAGCCTTTAGAGGCTATCTTTAAGAAACCGTTGTCTGATGCTCCTCCCAGAATCCAAAGAATGTGTTTGGAAATCTTACCATATCGACAAAGAGTTGTGTACAAACGGGGTTGTGAGCTTCATCTGGCTGACACCTTGAGTAGAGATTGCTACAATGACAATCAAGATGATGAACCTCAAAGCTTTGATATTCAGTTGATAATTCCTATGTCTTCTGATACAGTTTCTTGAATCAGAACTAGTGTTGGAAAATGCACAGAGCTTTCTAAATTGAAGGAAATAATCTTGAATGGATGGCCCGAAGAAAGAAGCACTGTTGACAATGAATTGGTAAAATATTTCACTTTCAGAGAACAACTAAGCTGCTATGATGGTCTTTTGTTTAAAGGAAGCCGTTTGATTATACCTGATGAAATGAAACTTGAAGTGTTACAGAATATTCACCGTCCTCACAAATGTGTTCAAAGTTCAATCAATACAGCACGTGACTATGTATATTGACTAAACTTTACATACCTCGTCTTGCAGTTCAAATATAGTGTTTGAAGTCCACTACATATGTTTTGCCATATATGGCATTCTCAAGTGGTTACAGAAAACATTTGATCCAATTTGGACTCGTCAACATGTTACTTCAAATACGGAAATATTTAACATTATGACACCAAAATAAATAAACGAATAAAAACATTTAAACATGTAGGCCTACAACACATAACCCGACCAATGGCACTGACTGAGACAGACTGAGCAGTTCAAGTTGGTCCTGAACCACGATCGTACAAAATCCAGACTGGTGATGGACGAGAATACCGAAGAAACTCATGGTTCCTAAGAAGAGACAAGTCATTCAGAATCTCCCATGATGTGAATAAAGGTCAATCGTCCAGGTCAGAAGAACATACCAATGACTCAGCTCCTGTTTTAAGACGAGGGGAAAGGATTAGAAGAAAACCAAATAAATTTGACTTGTGAAGGAGGGATAACAGTAGTAGGTAATATGTTAATAACATATGGTAATTGTTCTACATATGTTTTATGTTATTGTTAGCGAATTTCCCATATAGGGAATAAGCTATTACCGTAGTACTCAAGGTAAGACCTGGACCCGGGACCGATTTTTTTTCGTTTTGAGGTCCCTAGAGGCCAAAAATAGCATCCGTCCAAATTCATATATATATATATATATACTAGCTGAACCCGGCAGACGTTGTCTTGCCTTTGACTATTTATAATCCCGCGGGCTTTGCCCCGTTTAACTTCTTAATTTTCAAGATGATCTCGTTCGCATGGCTCAATATTGTCCTGGTTGAAGTTCATTCGCTACGCTCACTCACCTTTACATTGGAGCTCGTTCGCTGCGCTCACTTGCCTTCAGGTTAGCACATTCGCTACGCTCACTTGCCTTCAGGTTAGCTCGTTCGCTACGCTAACTCGCCTCCAGGTTGAAGTTCGTTCGCTACGCTCACTCACCTTTTGGTTGCAAATTAGCTGTTGTCATAAATGTAAAAGAAATAATAGTGCTGCACCCTGTTGGTAATCCTTGTAACTTTAATGCTATTGAACATCATAGAACAGAACCAACTTGTTTAATTGAAACAGCTGTTAAGATTCATTAATTCCATTTCTCATAAGGTTAACATGGGAAACTCCAGAGCCACTGGGGCGGAGCCGATTGGACGGATCACGAAATTGATGGTGTATAAACCTATTCCATGACATTCTACACGTATGTACCAAGTTTCGGGGCAATCGTTTCAGCGGTGTCTGAATTTATCACTGCCAAACAAACAAACAAACAAATATATATACAAACATCCTCTTTTATACTTATAGATATATATGTGTCCGTTAGCGCGATAACTCGAGCAAAAATGATCCAATTTTGATGAAACCTGGTACAAACGTGTAAACCTACGTTTATTCGAACGAGTTCGCGAACCAGCATGATCGGACCATGGGAACGGGGGTTTATGGGGGCTTTTATGGGGTAAAAATGGGTTTTTCCCATTTTTGACCCAAAAAACTTAAATTTTTGCAATTTCTTTCCAAATTGTTTTGTAGAGCTTAAAAAAACAAATAATTTAGTATATTAAAGCGTTATAATGCGCCTAATGGTTACGGAGAAAATTCAAAAAAATGTTTAATTTAAAATTCCCATGTTATTCTTATGGAGGATAAGTAAACTGTTGTAGTTTGCTTATTTATTACTGTAACATATTTTGCCCAAATTTTGAAAATGTTTTTATTTCTTACTAACTACTAATTACTAATTACTAACTTAACATTTTACATAAAAAAACACTTTAACCCTCCCTGTTGCAGCATACCTAAGTATGTGTTAAATTGATTCAATTTAAATAGGGAATAAATGTGATATTTTTAAGGAGGCATTTTAGTGTAAATCCAATCAGGCAAATGGAAATTCGCTTAGTCTGCAGGTTTGCTGCGGCGAGGGTATTTTATATTTTGATTGAGTTTTTGTAAAATTAGAAATCAACAACCTTTATTGAGTTCAGTACAATTATTTAATAATTAATCTAATGACACATAGTACATAGCAAAAGTGCTCGTACACTAACTGAGACAGGTAACCTGCCTGCCTTCAAATGGCCTCGTGTAAATTTGGCTTAACACCACACCATCAGGCTTCTCAATTGTTTCTTTTGAATAGGTTTTTGGTGCTGATTTCGATTGAAAATGTTGGAATATTGTAAGTACAGTAAAACCATTTTGCAGCTTTGATCGTTTTCAATTATGTGTCCATTATAGCTACGTTTTCACATTCTAAGGTGCTATGTAAATGAGATTTAAGAATATCATTATCAAAGATCTTAAAATAACGTTTAGCAAGGAATCAAAGTGTCAAAATAACTAATAGATTGGATGGTACAGTCAATTATTATCTCTGTTTTACTTTTCCTTAGTATTTGTACTCACCAAGTAGCTCAATGTTTTCATTGATGACACCCAATCCAATCGCATTTGTCCGTGAGTGAACTCTGCCGGCTGCAAAACACATCAATCAGTCACTTTACTGAATTTGTATTCCATGAAATTAATAACAACAAGACATTGACACATTTCCATGCTTACTAAATAGCATTATGCGAATACAATAATTAGGTTTACAGCAACAAGTAAAACACACTTAAAAAACAATTTTAAGATGTTACAAAAATTGTATGAAGGGTCATTTTATTTACAAACGAGCTGTCTACATTTTTAAGACATCCTCCATAAGGATGGTTAACATAGCGGAAACTGTGCAAAACAAAGGACGTCTTTGATTATCTTGGTAATCAATAGGCATAAATCTAGTATCATACTATATCTTACTAATCTATATATTAATAGGCAAGCATGTTTCTTTAAAACCTTTTTCTCAGCTTGTGTGCATCGCAGGAAAAATCTTCGCATACTGTTAGAAAGATATTTTTCTGTAGGTGTGCAGAATCCCTTTAAAAACTAAAATAGGCTCAGAAATAAGCACAAAAAATGAATTTGAAATTTGAAAAAAATTAACATGGGCTTTATGGGTTTCCATGCTGGTGACGAAATAACAACGAAATATAAACAGAAAATCAAAACAAATTGAAGAAACTCCAATCACATGTTTTATTTACAGTATGGGGCAAAAATAGAGAAGTCTGTACATAACAAATTTTTGGTCGAGTTTCGACCACTGGACGACCTCTAGTATATTATAAATGTGAAAGTGTTTGTGTGTTTGTTTGTTTATGTTTTGTTTTATGTTTGTTTGAAGTTTGATCACGCATTAAATAGTGGTCGGATTAGGATGACATTTGTTAGGATGATAGCTCACGTTCCCGATAAACATATAGACATATCTCAAAAATCCTTTCGGGCTCTGCCCCAGTTGCTCTGAAGTTTCCCATGTTAATGATTATGGAATTAAAGAATTTAGTTAGCTGTTTCAACTACACAAGTTGGTTATATGATATTCAATAGCATTATAAAGCTATTAAGTTTACCAACAAGGTGCAGCGCTATTTTTATTTATTTATTTATTTATGACAACAGCAAATTTGAATTAAGCAAAAACAAAAAGCTGTCATAAACAATGAGAAATTTACTGTTTCCTATTGTTTAGGTGCAGTGGTTGGACATTATAGCTATGGTAGATGTACTTTACTCAAGTATACCGTAAATTAAAAGAACCAAATTTTCTTAAACCGTGTCCTCTCCGGAAATAACGAGTATAACTGCAATAATAATTTTATACTTATACGCCAACCCCGTACGAAAGACGGGTACTACTCTGCTATAGTAATACTACTAGGTGGCGTTCGCAGAGGCATCCAGAAGTCATCAGGGTTCATTGTTATTGACCTTCACCATTGAGCTTCATAGTTATTTTTACCTACAATAATTTTAAAAGTGAAGAAAGTATTATTGTGAAAGATAAATATTGGGGTAATTAGATTGGCTACACGTTGTTTCGTAGTGAAGGGGAGTAAAGAACACAGAGTAGTAATTTTAGGCCTTTTTGGAGACCTACTTTTACATTTTAAGTTTAAACCCGCTGGGTTGGTCATCAACTTTTTCTCAAACAGGATGGTACAGTTCCAGCTAGATATAGCCTAGAAATCAGCCCTTACAGTTTTGCATTCTACCATTATGGCTACTGATAACTGCCTAAGAAGACTTTATGTGATGGTGAGTATATAAGGGAAAACACAAAATGTGGCTTCTCTTAAATCTGAGACCAACTACTAAAACATTACTAACTCCTATACTCAGTAAAACAATAAACAAGTTTTTTTTTTATATCAATGAAATAATCTTAAATATTTTTAAATATCATTATAGCTTGACTTGAATGAATTGTAATTTGACTTTATTTTGATTTTAATGAATGTGAACATTTAAAAAAAAAAAACGTTACAAGAGTTATATTCATATTCACATCCGCATTGATTTCTGCGTTTAAACTATAACCCATGTGTTAAACGTTATTATACTCCGTTCAAACAGCCGTGGCACCTGACGGATTAGGACACCCCATGGAAACCCTTGGGGCCTCCTAATCCCTCAGGTGCCACGGCTGTTTGAACGCACTTTATAATTTTTTAAATAAATCGGTAAGTGACCAAAGACGAAGTAAGCCGTCAAGTTTTGGCTAAAATTGTTGTGCTTCCTAGTCGTCCTTGTTGATCTTGAGAAGATCAAACTATTTGCTAGAAGCTATTATATTGCTATTATATATATTAGCTATATATTATTGCTACTATTTATATTAGCTAGAACTATTTCTACGTAGCGGCATTTCAAACACATCATAAAATCCACAGTTATTTTCAAGGAAACCTGTGTATGGATGATACTCATCTCCATTCATACTTGGCTTAAAATACCTACTTTCGCTAGGTTGTCATTTCAAAATAAAGTATTAAAGTATGTAAACTTTGTAACGTTGTTGTGACTTTGAATTAGAGTTCATAATAAGCACGCATTTGAATAAACTCTTTTATTGAAAAGTAATATTTACAACTGCAAATTGAAAAAGGTAAACATTGTTTTGTAATTAATGACAACAGCTGATAATATACAGTATAAAGAATACTACAATCTCCCCCACTTATTTTCAACTCATTTTGTAACATAGTCTTTAAGGTAATCTGGAGCTTTATGAGTGCAGGTTGAACATCGTACTCGTGGTCGTGGTTATGTTGGTTGTAAGTTCTCTTCAGCTGGTAATTGGACTAATTCTGGAACTTGGATAGGAACTTGCTGTTGCGGAAGTATGGGTACTTGCATTGGGACTTGTGGAATTATGGGAACTTGATTAGGTACTTCTTCACATTCGTTGAAACGAACCTTCTTTACTTGAGTTTTCCGGAGTTGGTCTAGATGACGTTTCAGTGTTCTTCCAGAATCTAACCTTACAATATAGTGAAGAGTCCCTAGTTTCTGTATAATCTCACCAAATGTCCATATATATTTATTATTTTGTGAATACTCCCTAATGAGAACTCTCTCCCCCACATTGAATGTTCGAACTCTTATTATCGAAGGAGGATTCTTTGCCGGATGGTAAGGTTGAAGAGCATCCAGCTTGATGCGGATCCTACGATGAAGATATCGTTCTGCAGGTGATTGTCCATTTGAGAGAGGAGTGGCGCGATATTGTTGAAGAATCTCTTGAACCTTTGTATGTATTTGACGATGGTCATCTTCCAATGCTTTTAATCTTTGCTTCAAAGTCTGGATAGTTCTTTCAGCAAGACCATTTGTAGCTGCATGTCCAGGTGCAATCAGTTTCTGGAAAATTCCATTGGATGAACAGTATTTCTTGAATTCTGCGCTGGTGAAAATTGTGGCATTGTCTGATACCATCACTTGGGGATAGCCATTAGATGAGAAAATGTTGTCGAGAAGAATGATAGTATTAGAAGTTGTAGGAGCATTTCTCAATACTTTAACTTCTACCCACTTTGACTTGGCACACACACAAACAAGAAAGTAGTGGTTTTGAAAAGGCCCCGCGTAATCTATATGAATACGCTCCCAGTTTTCTTCTGGCTCTATCCATGGATGAAGGGGTGCTTTGGGAGGATTGAATTTTATGTGGGCGCAAATTTCACACGATTGGACCAATTTCTCTATGTCCTTGTCAATCCCTTGCCAATAAACGTATCTTCGGGCTAATTGCTTCATCTTTGTAATACCAATGTGAGTAGCATGTAGTTGATGTAAGACTTGAGGTTGAAGGCTGTTAGGAATGACAGCACGAGTTTCCTTGAAAAGTACTCCATTGTCCAATGTGTATGGTAGGTCAGTAGAAGAAGACAAAAGTTTCCTTTTAATTTCTCTAAGATTTTGGTCACCTTCAGTTTCCCGGGCTAGAATAGTTGCATTTAAATGTTCATAAGATATTTCAAAAATTGTTTCTGAATGCAGCAAGGTAACTTCATTGTTTAGGAAAATGTCTAAGGTTTCAGAATGTTGAGTCACTGGAGCTCTGGATAAACAATCAACATTAGCATTTGCTTCCCCTTTCTTGAAACGTATTGAATACCGGTAGTTAAACCCTGATAGAAAAGATGCATAACGGAGTAGACGGCTGGAAGTCATGGGTGGTAAGGATTTGCTTTCATGGAAAATTCTTGAAAGAGGGGCATTATCTGTAATTAAGGTGAAGTGAAGTCCATACAGATAATTGTAAAAATGATTGACTCCAAACACGATCGCAAGAGCTTCTCGATCGAGCTGACTGTAATTTCGCTCTGATGGAGTTAAGGATCTGGATGCGTAAGCGATCGGTTTCTCTTCATCATCAATTATGTGACCCATTACAGCTGCAATTCCGGTAGGACTGGCATCACATGTTAGAAGTTAGAACGATTGGACGATGGGGGTCATATGGTACGAGAACTCTTTTAGATGTTATTTCCTCCTTGAGACAATCAAATGCAGTTTGACAATCTATTGACCAATGAAATCTTCTATTTTTCTGTAGAAGCTGTCGAAGAGGTGTTGTTTTTGTAGATAGGTCTGGGATGAACCGAGCGTAGTAGGTAACCATTCCAAGAAATTTCCGGACCTCATCAATATTCCTTGGTTGAGGCATATTACAAACAGCTCTAATCTTTTCTGGACTTTTTGAAATTTGATTGTACCTAATCACATGACCAAGATAGTCAATCTGTTCGCAAAAGAATTTGCATTTGTCTTTGTTTAGATGCAAGTCGTTCGCATGTAGACGAAATAGACACAACTGTAAATTATTGTAGCATTCATCTTTTGTTGTACCGTGCACGATTATGTCGTCAAAATAAACTTCAGTCTTTGGTAACCCGTTTAGAATTTGGCTTAGAATGCGATTGAATTCGGCAGGCGTGGTCTTGATTCCGAAACTAAGTCTGTGCATCAAGTATGTACCACGGTGTGTAGTAATAGTTTGAATTTTGCTGCTTGGGGCATCAACTGGAATGTGCAAATAAGCCTTGTAAATATCAAGCTTGCAAAAATATTTAGAGTCTCGC